TCTGTGTTCCTGCAGCAAAATTGTTCTTTCACAAGCAGATGTACTTCTTTTCCAACTAAAGAAAGACAAAGTCTGGCCCTCAAAATAGCCACATTTCCAAAAGAAGAAAGAGAACAGCACAGTACCTTCATGGCTTCATTGAGTCGCTTGGCAAAGTACAGCTGTTTGTTTTCAAAGCATTCAACTGGAGCAAAAGAAAAACCGAATAAATATCCACAGTAACTGTAGTTGACAGATGATTGTTTTTTGTGTTTCAAAGTTTATACATACAATAAAACGGAACTACAGAGTTACATTTTACTTCAAAAGTAGAACAGAAATAAACATATGCATAAATAATATGAATACATGATAAACAAATGTGTGTACCTAGCACCAGGAAGGACTTTTGCAAGTCTCCTTTGACTTCTTTGGCAATGCTCTCCTGCATGTCATAGGGACTGTAACTCTTGTACCTCTGAAACACTGACAAGCAGAGAAGAACGATTTAGATATTGAGAATTCAAAACCAATACTTTCGTAACAATAATAGCAAAAGGAAACAGTGCGTCTTACCTTTCTGCAGGTGGGGTACGCTTCTCTCAGACATAATGGAGATCCAGGTGGGCACATCAGTTCCTTTGATCTTCACCCCAGCCTCATAGAGGGCCTGATATAAATCAGCAAGATAACAGTAGATTTATTATTTATACTTTATAATGTGGCATGATGGTGGGTGCCACTCCTTGTTAGATATCAATATATCAAAATTAAGTAATTCTCTTATTCACAAAACTGCCAACTGCTTAAACTTGTACAAATGATCCAGGGTTTTAAATCTCATTTGGTCATTTCAATACATTTTCTGTGAATAAGTCAAGAACGTAAGAACTTAACATTAGCTAGATAAAGAATATAATTTAAAAAAGGTATAGATTTGAAATGAATCAAGTTTAGATTTCACAAACAAAGTAATAGATGGGCAACTTACTCTGGCATCTTGATCAATCTTGTCATAGTCTATGACAGCGATTGGAGCTGCTCTGTTGGTCTGCAAAGAAACAACACATGACTCAGGTCAGTTTACACGTTATAATGTTACATTAATCATAAAGACAGGCCCTAACAAATCTCACCTCCACCAAAGCCAGGAGCAGCTTGGCAAAGTTCCCAGAGGTGTCACCAGCCACGTCTTTATCCAGATCTTTCTTGAACACTGTGGGAAACAAGGATTTTTGTTCAGGAAATGTGATTCCTCTACATAAGATCAACCACATAGCTATTGAAAGTGTGGTTCAACAACATTTATACACATTTCAAGACCTTAGGTGGACATGATAATATATATAATGCACGACAAGCACAATAACCTTTAAGTGCGGCATTATACATTAAAATATATTTACAGCCTTGTATGAATGCTTTGGACGTTTTGGACTCACACTCCTTGTAGACCTTCTTGATGTCCACCAGCTCCTCATTGCTGCGTGAGCACAAAACTTCAATCAGTGTTTCTTCATCTGTTCCTGCTCCCTGAAAGAGAGATACATCTGTGTTACTCTCTTTACGTGACACTTTAGGATATTCACAACTATCATTTAGGGTGTAGCATTAAAGCAAGTTCAGTCATTTTTCCTGTAGAGGGCAGTGTAGCCCTTCCGTTAAATCCACTGATGATGAGTAGCACTGATGCAATGTGTGTCCTTTACCTTGATAGATCCTCTGATCAGTGAGGCATCGTACTGGGACGTGCTCTTCATCAGTCCAAGGATCACTGCTTCCAGAGAGCCGGACAGTTCTCCCTTCAGGGCTGAGATCAGGTCCTGAAAATACATCAGTGTTATATTTAAGTGTCCTTATTGTTTTAAGCCACCACAAAGTAAGAGCTGTGAAGCGTTTTGGGTTTTCTTAAGGCATACTGTACCTTCTTTGCCCTCCTCTCATAAGCGAAAGCGATGTCTCTCCTTTGTGAGTAGGTCCGCTTTGTGAGGATGTCGATGATGGTCTGTTCATCCACCCCTAATGTTAGAATGAAAAAGACACACAAACGTTGAGTGAGACAAAGGGGAATATGGTGTAAAAACTGGGTTATACACGACAGTGTGTCAATATGTTATAAGGGTTTCTATAGGGGGATGTAAAGTATAATGTGTATATTACCAAACATTTAAAAATAAGGATGGCTCAAATTAGTTTTTTTACAAATGTTTTAGGTGATAATTCTATCTCACTTTTGGTGAAAGGATGTTTATTAATTTTCTGTGGAACCTGCCAACACTTACAGTAAGAATCTAAGCCTTCAGGCATTCTGTGTGCTAACATGTTGAATGGTGTTGGCACACAAATGAAAAATAGCAAGTTTGGAGTCATTTCAACATATATTTGGATTTAGCTTTAAAAGTGCTTTGGGAAGAATAAACAAACACAAGAAGGGCCTGGCAGCAGAGATAACTTGACACATGACATGGTCACAAGGTACTGTCCAAGATCAAACCCTCATTAGCAAAGAAACATCATGACACATTAAACATATCATTCACAACAACAAAATGGTGGACTGTTGAGGAGTAAGCGGTCAGAATGTTGCCAACAGCTCCCAGAACAAAGCTCTGCCAGCTCCGGGGCTCAGACTTGGAGGTTTTCCCAGCACGGTCAAACCATTGGAGCCAGGATGCTGACTCACAAATACCAGCCACTCTTCTGTAGGAAGGAGAAGCAGAACCAAGCACTGATTTTTTTTCTCTTGCCTTTGGTTTTGATTGCAGTCTCTATTCTAGCAGCGTCTGTGTCAGGGTTGAAATCCGTAGCAGGTACCACCGTGGGGTGTTTGGGTTCATTGGTCTGGGGATCCAAAGCACATTAGAGTGATATTAAATTAACGCCATGTTATTTAAGGTACATCATGTATTGTATGAAAAGTAAAATGAAGATATGACATTACCCCAACGTTGAGACACAGCTGTCCCAGGAACTCTGATACCATAGCCATTTTGAATGTGCTGTAAAATATGACAAAACGGTCAACACTACACAATCTTGTAATCACATCTATGTGTAACCCTATCAGTGTCTTGTCTGAGCTGCAGGCATTTGGTCATGTTTGTTTTTGTCTCAAGATATAATCACTTCAGCCCACCAAGGAAACGTCTACTAAACTGAGGTTGTTGCTTTTGGTACAACTGAGTCACACAAATCCCTGCAAGAGACTTTCTCCATTTGTATCAAGTTGTTCTTTTGATTTCAATTATTTGCCACATTCACTTTATGGTAAAAAGGTTAGATACTATTGAACATCCATTAACACATTTAAATCATTATTCAGTCTGACACACTCCTTAACACTAGCCCCAAAGAGACACACCCTGGAAAATGCTACTGTACTGCAGTCAACTGAGCACATTTACAGCCATACAATGACACAGGTTAGAGCGCTCACACATTCTTACTTAGACATAACTCAAGAAAAGTAAATACAAAGCATGTGTGCACAAGAAGAAAGGAAATGGTGTGGAAGTAATTTGCTCATGACAGCAAGTTGGAGAATTCCCTTAAACTTCCCTGCATTGTAAAGTTAATCTAAGTTATAAAATGAGTTAGTTCAAAGTCAAATGTATAACTTCACTGAACTTACCTTAGTTGAGTTGAGATGATGCAGAGATATGTCCAGGCAGTGTTTAAGTGGAATGGGTGTGAAGGTTTATCTTTCGGACAGAAAACAATTCCCCTTTAACCTCCCCTCATTCAGACTCCCTCCCCTTTTCCATGCACACACGACTCCACCCTGTTCCACTAGAAGCTACTGGAAGAGTTGTGATACTTTGGTTGTTTTCCCCAAAACACTGTTAAAAAGTCACTGGAACAACTGGACCCTCAGGAAATGTTCAAGGTGATGTCTTGAATCATTCATTCCACACAAACAGTTATAAAGACATACTCACATATGGTACTTAGACAAAGTTTATTATTTATATTTTTTCACAAATTATAATTACCAACATATACAAAAATAGAAAGTTCTAGATTCTACTCTCAAAGTGCTTAAACGTCCACATTTATGTTCAAAGTCTTAATATAACACCAGTATGAAATGATGTACATTGTCAGTGCTTTCCTTTCCTTTCCTTTCCTTTCCTTTCCTTTCCAGTACAGGTTCAGCTCCTCACCTTATATGAAATGAGAAGACATGATATTGAATCCTTTGACGTGGGACTTCTTAAAATGTCTTTTTAAGTAGGTTTTTAATATACTTTTTACGGTTCCTTTGTCGTTTCTTCAGTTTGCCTACTGCATTCCGGTTGTTCTTTGCCTGTCCGGCTCCATGGTTGTTGTACTGCGATGACCCATCTTTCGCTGTCTGGTAGGATGAAGGAAGGTCAAAAGAAATGTAAATAACTGGGACTTCATTCATGTAGGATCATACATTATCACCCCAAATAATATGTTTATCTGTTATTCTTGGATGTACAAATGTTGACTATACAAATGCCCAGTTTAAATTATAAGTTTGCTATTGTAGTTGACAAGTTTAAAGATGTGTTAACGTCTTGCTATGTGGACTCAGACAGGCATCTAATGAATGTCTCAGAGTCTACACGCCTAACCCTGCTGAACAGATTTTGCTCTCTTTTGTCTCTGTTGTTAGTTTTGGAAATGCGTCGGAGAACTATTCACTGCACTGACTCAGCCTGTCTGATAAGGACACGACCGAGGGCTTTGCACCCACCACCACACAGGGAGACCGCATGGTATGCATCTTGGATTTTAGAGAATTCCTGAGAGTGGGTGTGTACTTCATAAGCATTAACAAATAAACACTTCTACTGGTTTCAATAGTCTTTCAACTCATTGTCATTACTTTCATGATCTCCACTGCTATAATATTGTTTCATAGTACCATCTATAAATGCAGTAACAATGGTAACGTAAATACAAACCTGCACAAAGGGTTTTGGCGGGAAGGTGCAGGGGACACGGCCGTGTTTCTGGTGGAAGGGCAGCACCACAGACGGATCAACAGGTATCCAGGGGACGAGGCCGGATGTGGGGGGCTGGGGGACGGAGCTGTGGACCTGCTGCAGGTTGTATGCCCCCCGACTCACTTTCCCATTAGCCACTTTTAATAGGGTCACAAATGGTTCCCCTGCCTTGTGCGCAATCAGGTACTGTCCTTCCTCTAACCTACAAAATCAAATGAAGTCATTGAAGGTGTGTTAGCGTCAGAAACCCACACACTGAGACATGTTGGAGCATTCCGAGGGGGGAACAGAGCCTTGAGAAAGCAGAAGGTGACGCATGCATTATGTGCCATAGAGTAATCGCTTGTGTAACCCTACAACACAAACATGAAGGCAAAATCATGCTTTTAGCCCGAGGCTGACAGTCATAACCGTTTCACAATTTCGTCATCCTAACAGAGCATAAAGACAGAGGATCACGGATAACTCATCTGCAGATGTTGCCCAACTAAACAATAGAACTACAGAGGAGGACCCAGCCCTTCCCCAATTTGGACCGTACATTCATCAAACCACATTTTCCATAGTTTTCCACATAAAATATGTTGGGTGCTTGCATTAGAACCAAGACATTTAGACCTGTAGATGCATGCCACTACCATTCTTGTGAGGGAGCTCAATAAATAATGTACATTCAAAGCTAAAATAAACACTGTCGTCGTCATCATCAACTTACCCAGTAAGCTTTTTCAGTAGGTGGTGCAGTATATTCAGAGACTTCGATGGCCTGTGGATGGAACATTCATATTTCAGTCAGTTTCTTTTGGCAGGAGTCTAATCTTTTACACTAATTCAGATGATTAGAGGAGATTTAAACAATCAGAATCAGAAATTCTTTATTTGTTCCACAGCGGCTAAATGTACATTGTTATAGCAAATGGACAGTGCAGATAAAAAGGCACCATAAAACATAAATTAGAGTAGCCCCCGTTGATGAAAATGGCGTAGACTATTTATTATGTGACTTTACTTTAATATGACAACATTCGTCATACATGCAGGGGTTATAAGGTGAAACCTAAACATCTGTGCACATCTGCTATAAGGACACTCACTTGAACCCACAGGAGATGTTGGGTTTCCAGTTGTCGGGCAGCTTTGTGAGCAGAGCTACTTTTGATGTGAGCGCATTGATGTGAGCTGCAGAGACAGAACGGGAGGGTGAGCGATACACTGAGGAAAGATCAAGAGCTAATGAGCACATCAAGAGCTTCACTTCATCATCAATGCCTCTCCTAGTGCTTACAAAGTAATTAGCCTGTGTTGATTTCCCAGCATTGTTAAGTGGGTGGTAAGAAATGCTTATTGGTCCTGCCTCCCACTCCAGCATGTAATGCCTGCTTATTCCAACTGTGCCTTCCTTCAATTATGGACTGTTTTAGAGCCTGCAGCCACAGCCAGAAATACACAACTGGGAAAGCCACATGATAAACCTCATGATGAACTACGAAGCTCTAAGCATAGAAGGAAGTCCTTTATCGTTTATATCATAATGTCAATAGGTGGGAGTTATTGTATAGTTTCATAAAGCTGGAATTGTATCACTGTTTCCTCACTGGCTCATCATTTTCTAATAATTCTGGGACAGAAACCAGAGACGTTTTTTCCTCTTTAGACATCCAAGGTTTTAAATGCCTGATGAAGGGTGACATCCACTTTTTGGCAAAGGTATTTCTGTCAAGCTGAGTATAAGAAAGCAGTATATTGTTGTAGGGACACAGAATGTCAACTGTGCCAACAGACTGGAAAGGGGTGTGCTTTAGAGACTCCTTTTGCCTTCATTAGATAGAACAAATAATCATTATGCTGTGTAGATGACGATGTGCAGTCCCAGAGAGAACACCTACACGAGCCAAAAGATTAATGTATCTCGCACAGAATAAAGATGAAGCCTTTCCCTGAATCTTGAGCAACAGGGATAGTAAGCAGTTTGGAATAAGTATTAAGAGAATTTAACTGAAGTTCAAAACAGCATTTAGCTGAGGTCTGCACAATGCGTTCTCTGTAATTCCCCATAATCAAATGTGGCTGTAGTTATGGCAACAAAGTAAACTTAATCAACACAGAGACACAGCAGGACGGTGAGTCATCTGAAGACTATTCCATTGGTTTGTGGGAGGATTTCCATGTTGACTCTACTGAACCCTCTGAAGGAGGGAGAGGAGAAAAGTCTTTTTATCCACATAAACAGTACTTTTATTATATTGTTGGCATATATGTTAAAATAAATTAAAGACTAAAAGCGATACTGACTATAACACTAGAATAGAGATTATTTTGGTAACATTCCTGTCTCTATTTTCACTGAAGGAATATAGCATTGTGGGTAAGAAAAGCAACACAAGTTTTACCTATGCAGGGTACAGTGCTGGAGTGGAGCAATGTCTCGGTCCACAGCTGGCAAGCCTCACTGCTGTTCAGACACTCAACTCCATAACTCAGCTGGTACTCCAGCTTGGGCAAGATATGCACTGGCACATGCTGTGGTGAAGAAGAAAACAGAAATCAGGGTGATGAAGATTTTTGACTTACTTTAATTTGTGAAATTACATTTTTGGAGGATGAGTGACGACTTATACCTGGTTTTGGTCGTTTTGGCCGACTCTCCTGCTATGGGTCAGTGACACAGAGCTCCGCACCATGAGCAGCAGGTCCTGCAGACTGTAGAGCTTGTAGAGCAGGTTGCCTTCTTCTGGAGCGACGTAATCTTGCTCATCTTCTGCACCAGCCTGCAGTTCTTCTGACAGTAGTTCTGTAGGTGGCAATAATGTACGATATGTTATATGTTATATAGAATCAGAGGATGAAACTCTCGTTAATTGTCACACATACATGCACACAGAGCACACACAGTGAAATGTAACCCATCCTAGTACTAGGAGAAGTGGGCAGCTATTGTACAGCGCCCGGGGAGCATTGGGAGTGGGTTGTCCGGTGCCTTGCTCAAGGGCACCATGTCAGGGCTCAGGAGGGGAACTCTCCAAGTAATATTTTAGGTCCGTTCAGGGACGTGAACTGGCGACCCTACGGCTCACTGTCCTAGCCCCTACTGACTGAGCCACTGCCGGTTAATGAACCACACAGAGAAACAACTTAAATCATTGAAAGAACATTTGTTTGCCACTAACTTTTATGCTTTGTATTTGTACTGTTGGCCCCTGGTGCAGATTCGTGAGAAGCAGCGCCGCTCTCTCCATCCTGGTTGTTATTTCTCTCCAAATATGAGGACACACAGGGCTTCACCAGAGACGTAGGATAAGAGTGAACTGAGGGTCCCACACCTCGGGCTGGTGAGCTCATCTCTTGGGATACGGTGGAGCTTTTGGCCGTGTCACAGTTGAACATGGCTGTCTGCATGCGCAGAATGTCACCCAGCTGGTCGCCGGATACCTTTGCTTTTTTGGAAAGTCGTTTCTGCTTTGTTGGTTTTTCAGGGGAAGAACACTCTGAATTTAGAGAATCAGATCTGGCGTCAGCAGAGAGAGGTGTGGGCTTACATTGTGTAGTACGTGTTTGAGCTTGAGACACAATGGAGTCATCAATGACCAGTTGATCTTCATCAGAATCTCCCATAAAAGGTGGGTCTTCGTTACATTCCTGAGCAGAGTCCGGCCTCATGTCTTCAGTTGTTGGTGCAATGGCCTCATTCCCAGCTGGCTGATTTCTCTCCTCTGTTACGGGATCATCCTCACCTGCCGCTGAGGTGTCCATCTCTTCTTGTGAACTGCTGGTAGTGTTTGCAGGACGCTCACTGGACCTTTTAGTATTAGTCACAGACGCAGAACTTGATGCTTTCGTACTTTCAACACATGCATCCTGCTCGTTCTTCTTTTTCGGCGTCTTTGGGGTTTTAATGTGTTTCGTCTCACCAAATGTCTCCAGGTCAGTAAGGTCCACCTCAAAGTCAAGACCATTGTTTTCACCAGACACTACATTTCTTTTTGATCTCCCCTGAAGGAGAAACAGAAAACAAATGATTATTGTTCTGATAAATAAGACCACATTAATGATATTACTTTTTTTGTGCGACCACATACAGAGAGTTGCTGGTCATCCTCACGAAGCTCCGTCATTAAATGGAAGACATTTTTACTCCCATTCTTCTTGATGGAGAGCTTCAGACTCTCCTCATGGAAGACATGGCTCCTCTCTTTCACCGTCATCTCAGTCTTCAGAAGGGGTGAGTCTATATATACAGTCTTCTTCTGTCCATTGCCTGTAAATAAAACATGTGAAATAAAGGATGTGTGAAATGGTGCCACCATGAGGCCGCTCAATGTCATTACACACAGTGATGTAGCTCAGATTTCCTTACTGCTGCATAGTGCATTTCTTTTATCAACATGATTACAAATGTTTCATCCTCATTAACAGAAAAGGAAGACTATTCCCTTTCTATTGCAAGAGTTGCAACATCTTCATATCTACTGCAAATATGAACCTTTTTATTTTATTTAATAAGCTAATGCAGAGGTGTTCATCAGTGGCCCTCTACCGCCAGTCAGAAGAGGAGTGGAGAGATTCAGCAGATTGTTTGCACCGAATACCTGGCTTTCAACGGCCTGTACTGACCATTCTGTTCATTTTATTGACAATTTTAACTTTTTCTGGGATCGCAGACATCTTTTCAAGGCAAATGGAGTTTGCCTGAACAAGTCAGGAGTGAAATTGTTTATCTCTAACATATTCAACTGCCTGCGTTATCAATCTGTTCCCTCTGCCAAGGACAAGCGGCAATAGGAATCAAAACAGGAGAAAGACACAACACATCGCGCAGAAAACCCTGAAGAATTATCACTGCACCCGCCTGAGGAATGTTCTGATTATGGGAGACACATGGAGGAGTCTCCACTGCCCGTCAACCCCCCCCCTGTCAACGCCTTTGAGGATACTCCGTTCACCCTTTCACCCTTGCCCACCCTCCTGGGGATCGTTGAACACATGAAGGAGATACAGAGGGTTGGCACCGATTCCTTCCTGGAGTTCAAAGACCAAACGAACGCGATACGCAGGGCTGGCACCATGTCCTTTACCCCCGCTCCTCAACGACGCCCACCAAAATCACAGCAGAGACGCGCACCATCTCCCCCGTCTTCATCACCGTGCCTACGTCAACCACCTCCCCCCCTGGCAGCATGTCCTCTACCCCCGCACCATCTCCCACGTCTCCATCACCGTGCCTGCGTCGGCCGCCTCCCCTCCCTTCGAGAGGGCATCTGCAGTCTCCGAATCCTGATAAGGATGTGTGTGTACTAAACGCTGCAAACTGATATTTGCTGGGTCCAGGCTCAAGGGCGTATGGCACTCTCAACTCTTTCCAGGACATGTCGGGGCCCTGCCTGCCTATAGCTTTGCCGATATCTGTGTTGATAGGTAATAGATTAAGAGCGGTGAATCATCTTAGAAACAGGAAGCGCTCAAACGTTTGTGTGAGTTTATCTAATTTAGCAGTGATTCCATGTCAGCCACAGCTTGTTACAAAAAACATGACTGATAGTGTGTTTAACAAACTTAAACTAGCTTTATTAAATGTCAGGTCTTTGGCAGGAAAAACATTTTTAATCAATGATTTTATCACTGAGCACAATCTCGATTTTATGTTTTTAACAGAAACTTGGATTGAACAAAATAACAGTGCAGCTGTTCGTATCGAATCAACCCCTCCCAACTTTAGTTTTATGAGTCAGGAAAGAATGCATAAGAAAGGGGGTGGAGTTGCTATTCTGTTCAATGATTCCCTTCAATGCAGGAAGACATCGTATGGAAACTTTGATTCTTTTGAATATGTGGCCCTTCAGCTGAAATGCTCCTCTCGAGCTCTGTTCCTAAATATCTATAGACCACCCAAATACTGTACAAGCTTTTTTGATGACTTTACTGAACTGCTGTCTATAGTGTGTATTGACTTTCTAGTTATTGTTGGTGATTTTAACATCCATGTTGACAACCCCCAGGACAGAGGGGCTAAAGAACTGTTTTGTGTTCTTGATAGCTATGGACTGACTCAGCATGTGACGGAGCCCACGCACAATAAGGGGCACACTCTGGACTTAATTATCTCAAAGGGTGTGAATATCTCTAAGGTTGTGGTGACTGATGTTGCACTCTCTGATCATTCCTGTGTTTTCTTTGAGAGCTCTATTTCTGTTCACAAAAATGTTCAAAAAGAGGTAACCACAAAGCGATATTTAACTGAAAATACTAGGGAAATGTTTACTCAGAATTTTTCTTCCACACTTGCCCCTGCCAACATCTCAGTAAATGAGCTAGTAGATCATTTTAATTAAAAAATTAAAAATGTTATAGATGCCATTGCTCCAACTAGGTTAAAGGAAGTGTCTGGCAAGAAAATATCTCCATGGAGAAAGGCCATGACCATGAGAACAGAAAAAAGAGAATGTCGAAAAGCTGAACGCAGGTGGCGAAAAACAAATCTCCAGGTTCACTTTGAAATCTATAAAGAGAGACTTGGCCTTTATAATTTGGAATTGAAAAACGCACGACAATCGTTCTTCTCTGACATCATTACCAAAAACAAAAACAACGCACATGCCTTGTTTGCTACCGTCGACAGACTAACTAACCCCCCAGTGTCAGTAGCCTCTGAATTTCTATCCACCAGGGCGTGCAATGATTTTGCCTTTTTCACTGACAAAATTCAGAAAATCAAACAAGCAGTCAGTGCCTCTGCATCAGGAACAGCAAATGTGTTGTCTCTGTGTCCACTTAACATCAATTCAGACATCATGACACAATTCCATCAGATTAATGATAAAAACCTAGAGGACATTATTCAACTTCTGAAATCCTCCTCCTGCTGCCTTGATATTATTCCAACAGGATTTTTCAAAGATGTTTTTCGTTGCATGGCCTCAGATCTACTTCATATAGTAAACAAATCTCTTCACTCAGGTATTTTTCCACAGGCCCTGAAAACTGCAGTCATTAAACCGCTCTTAAAAAAGAATAATCTAGATGCTTCAGTAATGAACAATTACAGGCCCATATCAAACCTGCCATTTCTAGGTAAAATCATTGAAAAAGTTGTTTTTCAACAATTGAGTAATTTCTTGCATTTAAATAGCTGTTTTGATGTGTTCCAGTCAGGCTTTTATCCAAACCACAGCACTGAGACTGCTCTTGTAAAGGTCTTTAATGACATCCACTTAAACACAGACAGTGGCAGAACTTCAGTGTTAGTATTATTAGATCTCAGTGCTGCGTTCGACACTGTTGACCACAGCATATTACTAGACCGACTGGAAAACTGGGTGGGACTTTCGGAAACAGTTCTAAATTGGTTGGAATCCTACTTAAAGGACAGAAACAACTTTGTTTCTATAGGTAAATACTAGGGCTGTCAGTCGATTAAAATATTTAATCGCATGATTGTACATAGTTAATCGCACATTTTTGATCTGTTCTAAAATGTACCTTAGAGGAATATTTTTCAAGTTTTTAATACTCTTATCAACATATGAGTGGACAAATATGCTTTATGCTAATGTTTATTATCATTTGAACAATGACAAAAATCCTCATGAATATTAAACACAACAACCTCTGAACATTACAAATATTCGCCTCAATTCAACCTGGAACCTCTCTCATACAATAATACAATACAAATGGTGTGTGTGTGTGTGTGTGTGTGTGTGTGTGTGTGTGCGCGCGTGCGTGTGTGTGATGGATCGTTGGAGCTATGTGCAACTCAAGGCATATGCTCGAACGGGAGCTGCCTGGACGCTGCAATCATGTTGCGCACTATCCGTGCTGAGTGTGCTGACTTTTCGTACAATGTCCCACTGTCTGGCTTCCTGCATAAAGTCAAGTGCTCGGCGCAGTTGTGGCAAAATGTCGCTCCATATCCGTTAGCGCAGCTAGCTAGCACCAGATGCTAACAACAACAATGCACGTAAGGTCTCTCTCTCGGCGCTCGGGCCACACACACACACACACACACACACACACACACACACACACACACACACACACACACACACACACACACACACACACACACACACCACACACACACACACACACACACACACACACACACACACACACACACACACACACACACACACACACACACACACCACACACACACACACACACACACACACACACACACACACACACACACACACACACACACACACACACACACACACACACACACACACACACACACACACACACACACACCACACACACCACACACACACACACCACACACACCCACACACACACACACACACACACACACACACACACACACACACACACACACACACACACACACACACCACACACACATAGCAGATACAGAAGTACCAGCACATTTTACTTTATACTATACACTGATTGAATAGCACACTTAGCATCAATCCCTTGCTAAAATGGGATATCTCAATTGAGAATATACAGAAGGACATCGCTTTACAGGCCTGTGTGAAGACGCAGGTAATGTGGTCTGCCACAAGCGGGCGGCAGGAGCGGGGCTGTCAGAATCAGCTTGTAGATGGTATTTTAAACTCGATGCGCTCTGAAACTACGGGGCGGCCGAGGAAAAAAAATACACATGCGTTAATCGCGTTAAATAATTAGTGGCGTTATTTTTTTTTTCCGTTAATAACGCGTTAACTTGACAGCCCTAGTAAATACACATCTGAGTTGACAAATATGAAATGTGGGTTCCTCAAGGCTCCATCTTGGGGCCTCTTCTCTTTAACATCTACATGCTACCACTGGCTCAGATAATGAAAAACAACAAAATAAGTTACCATAGCTATGCAGATGACACACACATTTACGTAACAATTTCACCAGGAATGCTCCAATTCAAACACTGAGTAAGTACATTGAACAAATCAATGACTGGATGTGTCAGAACTTTCTCCAATTAAACAAAGATAAAACTGAGGTAATGGTTTTTGGAGCCAAGTCAGAACGTATAAAAGTTAGCGCTGAGCTTCAGCCTGCAATGTTCAAAACAACAGATAAAGCCAGAAATCTAGGTGTAGTCATGGACTCTGACCTGAGTTTCAACAGTCACATTAAAACAGTTACTAAATCAGCCTACTATCACCTAAAGAATATATCTAGGATTAAAAGACTAATGTCACAGCAGGATTTGGAAAAACTTGTCCATGCTTTTATCTTCAGTAGACTGGACTACTGTAATGGTGTCTTCACAGGTCTCACTAAAAAATCTATTAGGAAGCTGCAGCTGATTCAGAACGCCGCTGCTCGAGTCCTCACTAACACTAAGAAAGTGGATCACATCACTCCAGTTCTGAAGTCTTTACACTGGCTTCCTGTGTGTCAAAGAATAGATTTCAAAATACTGCTGCTGGTTTATAAAGCACTGAATGGTTTAGGCCCAAAATACATTTCTGACCTCCTGCTAAATGATGAACCATCCAGATCTCTCAGGTCTTCAGGGACTGGTCAGCTTTCTGTCCCCAGAGTCAGAACTAAACATGGTAAAGCAGCGTTCAGTTATTATGCTCCAAATATCTGGAACAAACTCCCAGAAACCTGCAGGTCCGCTGCAACTCTGACTACTTTTAAATCCAGGCTGAAGACTTTTCTTTTTGTCGCTGCTTTTAATTGAACTATTCATATCTTAGACTGCACTGTAACTTCTATCCATGTACTTTTTCTTTTAATGTTTAATTGAACTATTCATATCTTAGACTGCACTGTCACTTTTATCCATGTACTTTTTCTTTTAATGTTTAATTGAACTATTCATATCTTAGACTGCACTGTAACTTTTATCCATGTATTTTTTCTTTTAATGTTTATTTTATTAGCTTTTCTTTTTAATGACTGATTTTAAATGCCATTTTCTTAATGTCTTTCATTTTTTGTAAAGCACTTTGAATTGCCTTGTGTTGAAAAGTGCTATATAAATAAACTTGCCTTGCCTTGCCTAATGTCATAAGCTCAAGAATGACATTAAAAAAAAAACGTTTTAATAAAAACCTTATCCCATCCTTTCCTATAGAATTGCTACTTAGAAATCCAGCGAAATATTCTTGTTGGTCTAAAATTTCAAAATCACTTATTGTGAAAAAATGTAAAAGTGTCATTATAAGTCAGTAACATTATAAAATGCATCTCCTATTTTAGTTCTCTTGTATACACATTGCTATTTGAATCTGTCATTGATATTAATGTAGCAAGGTCAATATCTGGGGTCATCATCTAACACATTTTGTGTGCATTTAAAAATAATTGTGTAGTTTTTTGTTAAGATGTATGTTACTGTATCTAAGTTATTTAGAGCAAAAATAATTCATTCTAATATTTGGCTTTTACAGGATACAATTGGATGAATTTTTGTGGCATTATCACCATGACTTTATAGCTGAAAGTGAGCAGCAACGCAAAGTAAAGAAAGACAAATAAATCATTTTTACCCATTCGAAGCAAGCCCTAAATTTGTCCTAATTAATCTTACGTCAACTAGAACAGCCTGAGTATCTGAATGATGATGCCGTACCTTCTCCTGGGTTTAACTTGATCCAAACCGGTAATTCCCACTGCTCTGCAAAGTCTGGGCCATGGTTATCTAGCAGCCTTACGAGGGCGCCTCGAGTGAGACACACATGAGGCTCATAACGAGCACACAGGCTGCTGGCATTAACATCACCGCTGATTGTCTGCAGAGAAAAACAAGACCGGGTCAGACAACCAGAACTGAAGTCAAACCAACACAGGTAACTTCTCAATAGTCTACTATTAACTGGACTTTGACATCTTTCAGAAACACAATTAGCACTGGTTTTGCTCAGCAATACAAGAACACCCTCTGGTGTCTTTTGTTAAAACTGAAAGAAGTGAAATGGTGTAACAATAGACCTGCGGTCATGAATCCTATTCTAGCAGTAAAACAGCTTTGTGACTTGCTAATTAAAAAAGAAGAGACAATTGCTTACAGCGTGCATGTCCTTGGCTTTTTTAGCTGGAGGATTCTGTGATGAAACACTCTGATAATCCGATGCAAGCTGTGCATCAGCAGGCACCATCGTGTGGTCTGTAATATCCACATTGCCCTGGAGAAATGAAGGGTACAAATATGGAAATGGAACAAGTGAATCAACACCAAAAGACTGATTCTGCAATTCATCACTTTGAGTTGTAAAGGTTGAAAAGAAAACTGCACAATGAACAACAAATGAAGTGGTAACCCTACACTTCTTTGACTAGAAGAGCTCCCGTATGATAGTAGCACTTCAAAAGTTCATTACCATGATCAGCAGCTGTTTCTCAAAGGTCAGCTTCAGCCCTGGGTTGAATGTTCCCCCGGTCAGACTAGTCATCTCATGGATCTGGTAGAGCTCAGGAAACGTCCTGATGTGCTCCAAACACTCCCTGAAGAACTCCTGAAGAACAAATTAGGGCTCTATGTTTTAACACTTATGAACATACATCACAGAGCTGATGACAGGGGCAATCCTTGCAGTATCACTACCTCTGAGTATTGCATAGCTCCCTGTGATATGAAGTTGTAGTCGTCAGCACATATCTTGGCCACGTCTTGCAGGTACATCATGAACTGTATCACTTCACTGTTTACTCGTGCCTGCAAGTTCTGAAATATTAGAACATACTATTAGAAGACCCTTTGCAAAAAAGGACAGGCAGGATTGAAATACAGTTAAGGATTTAATGTAGGTACCAGTGGAGGATCGCTTGCTTTCTTACTCATCAAAAAGCCAAGATAAGTCTTCTGGCCATTGATTGACAGGCTGGACGGACAGGGGTAGGGCAGTCTGGGTTCAGGGTAAACAGCACCCGCCTCTTTCTCAATCTGCTTGAGCTTTCCCCTTGATTTCTCTGTATCCCAACATTGTGCTGCACCCTGCCCGTCATTGTCTATAAACGGATCGTCAGTATCACCGCTTTCAGAGCAGGATTCATTCATGCTGATGCAACTGTTGTCTTTAAAGGCTGCAGCGTCTTTTGTAGAAGAAGAGGGGGAGGAAGCTTTTGAAGTCCCACAGTCCTGTTTTATGTTCTGCACAGGACTTGTGGAAGGAGAAAGAAATTGAGGTAAAAACATGTTAGATACAGATATATAATTTAGCCTTAGAAAACAGAGTACAAAATAGTTTGAGCTGATTTATTATCATCAACAAACCTTTGGAGAAAGTCCCACAGCTCTCTGATATTAGGTGCAAGTGAATATTTGACATAGAGATCATTGGTAAAGAAAGGAGCATCGGGGACCTGGGGGTCCTCCCTTGAATTTAAAGAAAGAAAAAAAACAGTATTTGAGGCACTGCATTGTACCAAACATTATGCAACAGTTTCTTCATGGCTTTTGTGGGTGGACAGTTTATTTTGACATGCGAGTGTCTCAAAGTTTGTGTTTTAGGGTAGTGCACATTATAAATGACCATTACTCAGCGTAATAGATGACTCAGGTGTAGTGTCATTATTTTCTGCTGAGTTTAATTGTGTGTATCAGCAAGGGTTTTGACATGAAATTAATCTTCAGAAGCTGGCAACTCATTTTCAAAAGTACAAGTTCCTGAATCAGATCCTGCTGAGCGACTCCAAATCCACACAAAATAGTATTGCAAAGCTGGACCTGCCAACTTTTTGGGTGATTTTAGACAACCTTCTATAATTGTATATAAATGTTTCTATGACAATTCTGCAGTTTCACATCATTTTGACATTGATTTAAAATCACTTGGTTATATATTGCATGAACGCTTTTGAAAATAACTGATTTGGAGTTATTCAAGGTTCTTTATTTAGTCATACGAACATAGCTACAGTGTAGTTATGCCGATGAAAATCGTGTGTCTTTATATCAAAGATATTAAAATTCATAACCCCCACATGTTATCAACAAAGGTGGGCCATATAAGACTACTTTATAATATTTTTAAGCCTAAATATTTTCACTAATATGGGCAAGTTAGTACGGAGTTATTGAAAAATAACGTAGGTTTTATGTCACTCAAATGATCATTTATTGATTATCTCCAAGTGAAACTCTGTGTTTAAGAACAACGGCTCTTAAAGATCAATTCACACAACTAACTAGTAAATCTCCTTAACAAACAATTGTAGCGGTTTGTAATAAGGCAAATTCAATAATTCATTTTAAGTACTGTTACTATCAAATTCCCCTTACAGCTGGACAGGGTGACACAGTGTCAAGTTTAGTAGGTGTTTTTAGACTTGTAATAACCGTATATTTACAGTCTATTGTAATATCCAAAACATAACAGATGATTCCCTATCATGTCAGGTGGAGCAGCATCAAGTCAGTTAGATTAAGAGAAGAAAGCAACTTCCGTTTCACCCTTCAAAATAAAAGCAAACGTTATCCCAACGTCTGTACGACAAAATGTCTAAGAAAGCTTTCTAGATCAAGAACGCCATGTTTAGTCTCTATAAGCTATGTTGGGAACGAATGCATATACCAACAAGACAGAAAAACGTTGTCAAGTCAAATTCTGGAGGTCAGTTCAAATCTAGAGTCAACAGTACATTTTTGTTTGGCGTTAGTTTAGGTAAGTCTAGGCGGAACATGCCACATGGCTTAGCTTAACATAACAACTGTTTACAACACAAAACAATGAGACACACATTTCGTTGAACTAAAACAATTCGGTTTATTATTATTTCCAGACTCGTCATCATAATAGCTTGACTGCAGCTATGCTTGCATGTTGCAGCTCTCTGGTTGAGTCTTCCCTGGCACTTATTAGTGTTTTAAATAAAACTACGTCAACAATTATGCGTACTTTTAGAGTTACTTAATTTCCGGTTAAGATAGTTTCTACTATAGAAGTAGCTCAGCTTTGGTTAGCATAGCGAGCTGTCAGTCACAACAATAACAGAGCTGTCGCTAAGCTTTTTAGCAAAAATGAAATAGCACAAAGTTCAGTTTATTACTTGAATTGACACACAATCTACCACTGATCTTCTGCTGATGCTTACAGTGAAAATACGACTTACCATACTAGTTCCATTATAGCCACACTAACCAGAGGTCCGCGGAAATGACAACATTAAAGCTACTGTAAATATGAGTAGCCACATGTGCTAGCAAGCAGATGACCTTCTTCGTCTGTTGAAATGATGTTGACATTAAAGCGCTCTGTGGACATCGCTGCCCCCTGCCGGACATCAAAAGTAAACGATCTGTTTTTTAACTGTATTTTTTTATTAACTTTCTAGTTCATCTACACAAAGTTAAATGTTTTCCTTGTAAAGAAAACATGTTATTTGTACTTGTATTCAAAATGTTTATGAACATTACAATACATTCCACATCTTTATTTATGCATAGATGTCGTTATTGTACAAAGCTTTGGCCATACTCAGAGCCGTATAATATAATTATTATTATTATTTATTATTATAATAGATATTCTATCTATACGGCGCTGGCCATACTGTATCCCATTATGGTCATGTCAATAAAGCTATTTGAATTTGACATCCTGGTGTGTATTTAAATTATGGAAGGCACTTTTTAGGAGGTGTTGCCACAGTCCTTCTTTTTTTCTATAATTTTCTAATACATTCTACATCTTTATTTAAGCATAGATGTCGTTATTGTACAAAGCTTTGGCCATACTGTATGCCATTATGGTCATGTCAATAAAACTATTCTGAATTTGCCATCCTGTTGTGTCTGTTTCTGCAGGCCACAATATCCTAAGATATGTTTACATTTATTAAATTCTTTACTTAAATTATGGAAGCCACTTTTTTAGGAGGTGTTGCCACAGTCCTTCTCTTTTTCTTGTATTTTCGAACCTAAATACTCATATCAACATTGGGTATAAGAGCCATCATGTAAAAATATATAGACAACATTAAATTAAATATAGTGTTCCAACAATAATATCAAGAGTATTATATACACATGTATATCTACATAACATTGTTCGAAAACTCCTGTTTGTCCATGCAGGTTGTGTCAAGAAATTGAGAACAATGCTGAATGTTATCCTTTAGAAATATCTGCATTTCCAATCATATGCATATTAAAGATTTTAAAGTAACCAAAGACTCTTTACTTCTCTAAATAGACAGATTTTCATATTGTGTCATCAATCAATTGTGATAGTGAAATATGTCAAGACCACCACCAAAAAGGTCTCATGTTGCTTAAATGGTTATATAGCTTAATGTCTAAATGGCAGATGATGTAGTTTACTATCAAAGTATTTTCACAGGTATGTTCTCTCTATTTCTATGTTCTCTTTAATATTTTGTGAGTGTGTGATAATTGATATCTTTGCCAGTTGTTAAAAACATGGAATATGATTATTTAGTTGAAAAGAGTGTGAGCTGAAGAGAGATTAGACAACAGAAACAGATAAAGAGTCAGAAAATAGAAGCCCATTACAAGCGGTACATTTTATTATGGGATAACAGCACATAAAGCACATCTAAAATCGATGTGTCCAATGCACTTTTAATAAAGGTAATATTAAAGGTACAGTTTCTAAGTACAATATAACAACATTCATATTAGAATGAAAAGTATTTAAAAGACAACATTACATTTCTTATTTTTCTTTACAGCTGTATTTACAAAATGAATCAAAATACTTATTTTCATATTTAAGAATCAGACAAGGAGCAAAACTAAGTTTGTGAATAGACTACCTGCTAAAGAGACTTCAAAAGAGCTGGATAAAAAGTTACATGATCATCTGTCCCCATTTTAACATCAGTAGCAAACGTGTGACTTAGAAATGTGTGAAAACCACACACTAGTTTCAGCTTTCCCATAACTTGCACTGCTTTTGCATGGAAAAAGAATGCACCCCTTCTCCACCCACCCAACCATTGAGCGCACATTGAACACAGAACATTAAAATAAATCCAGACGTATTGTATGCCTCTTTTACAAACCCATACAACTACTTGATATACAATGCATTAGTAAATCTCAGTGAAATAAAAAAAAGTTGATATAAAACAAGCACAAAGTGAAGAAATGTGGGTTGCCTGTAAGTTTTGCCTGATTAAAAAAAGGTGAACTTTTCTGTAGCATTGTCTGCAAGCATTTATTTCACCATTCAAGATCAACATGAAACAAACTTCCCAGTTAGGTTTTCAAAAAACAAGGTGAGGGATGACATGTACTCTCTAAACGGACCATCTATACACTGAAACCCTTTAACATAGCGCATCAACCCATGTGAAAATGATTAACATCACATAAAGAAAGAATCTGAAAAAGCATGTGAGTTGAGGATTTCTCCTCGTACAAAATACATTGTCACTTCATTACACGTCTGGAAAACCACAAAAAAAGACAATCAAAACTATGTATGCATCTTGTTACACCGAGAGGCACTCAGTGTGATACGTTGTGTATTATTGCAAGCATATTCTCACTGATATTTGCTACAGAGTGGAGAGAAAAGGTCAACTTTGTCCTCAAATGGCAATTATTTCATGTAAATTTGTAACACTTTAAGTGGTGCAAGAGGTTTACACTACTGGTCTGAATAAACCAGTCTTAGGATAGTCTAAAATGGGGAATAACAAAAGCATACCGACGCTGTTTATTAAAATCCAAGCACCACTTCCCTGCATCAGGTGAAGAACTATGCAGACACAAGAGAGGTAAATATTTAGTATCTTAAAACCTGACAAACTATAGCCTCAGTGAGTGGTTTTTACAATCAGACAAAGAAAAAAAAAACACAATATACTGCTGTTTCAGTTTGAATATTATAATTTTTCCACAAACCAGAAGAGCAACCTTAAATAGCTTGTTAATTAGCAGAAACTAGCTTTGCTATAAGTCAGAAGGAAATAAGTGCCTTACCCCAAGACGAGCACACTGATACAGGTACTGGCTGGGTATTTTTTTACCACTATCATTTTCATTATCTTTATTATTTATTGAGTCCTAATATCAATAATACATTAATATGCTATGAAATGAATGGACTAATAGGGCGGCCAGGCTTAGGAATCAATACTTTGTTCACAAATTAACTTACCTAGCACCGCACATCATGGCAACACAAAATAAATGTCAGCACACCCTATCGCTATCAAACTAATCCTGAAAGAGGGAGGCAAACTAGAAACAGAACTATCGTACAATATGGTGTCATTGAAAAACAGATAAATAGTTTCACTGGGTAGGCCTTTAGTAGCAGTATTTTCCTCTTACCTATACAGACAGAAATTACAAAGCTACCTTTATACATCTGATCAATAATAACATTAAATATTGTGAATAAACAGCCGAGGATGAGGGAGAGAGAAAGAGTGAGAAAATAAGATATACAGCATACAGGCCATGTCAAGTTCTTAGTTCTCCACCTGGGAACGGAACTGGTCAAATATACAGATGAAACATAAAAACATCCACAAAATGAACCAAAATGTGATAAATAAGAGGTGTATTTACATGCAGATGTTCAAAGACTATTATGCACAAAAGGATTAAAAACAATACACAGACATATATTATTGCTTGACATTCGATTATGGCTAAAAGTTGCTTTCCATTTTTTTTTTTTACTATACTCTTAAACATATTTGTAATCATAAATCCTTATCAGCTGTGCTTTGGAAAACGAGTTCTGTTCAAATGTGACGACTGACTCATAATTCTGGGAAACACATCGACACTCCAGCACAACGTTAAGCGTGACATAACGCTGATCTTCACAATTTACGGCTGAGAAGACTCATTTTCACAATTTACACTCCAGAATTCATTTCAATTATTTCCAGCTCAGGCCGTGGCCGCGCTGTCTCGACCGACAGCGAATGTGTTTTCTCTGTGAAGCTGCTCAATGTTGCCTCACAGCATTCTGCAGACTCTGAATTGTTTGAAGGCATTATGTCACGCTTTTGAAACCTACACCTATTATGGATGGATCAAGCTGAGCATTTCCAAAACCTTATATTCTTAAAAAAAAGTCAAAATAAAATCCTTGTCCTAATAACCCTGTTTCCTTTGTAATTATTAAAGCCTTGTCTGGGGTTTATTGTTATTCACACACTAGGTGAGAACAACACTACACACCACACAACACACACACACACCACCACACACACACCCACAACCGACACACACCAACACACACACACACACACACACACACACACCACACACACACACACACACACACACACACCACACACACCCCCACACACACACACACACACACACACACACACACACACACACACACACACACACACACACACACACACACACACACACACACACACACACACACACACACACACACACACACACACACCACACACACACACACACACACACACACACACACACACACACACACTATTGCTTTTTACACACCGACAACAGAGCAGAGACAGAAGGACCAGCACATTTTACTGTATACTATACACTGATTGAATAGCACACTTAGCATCAATCCCTTGCTAAAATGGGATATCTCAATTGAGAATATACAGAAGGACATCGCTTTACAGGCCTGTGTGAAGACGCAGGTAATGTTAGGACACAAGTAACCATGTATCCGATGACCATTTTTTGCTATCCTGCCAATATCGCAAACATACCTACATAAGATGAAAACAGAGTGATGGGGCTTGTTGTTTTAGACAGAGTAAACATCATCAGTTTCAGCTGGATGAGTAAAGTTAATTAAAATAGAGTGATGACTGCACTGTAGAGACCCGTAATTGTAACACAAGGCATATTGCTCGTTTTAAATATTGTAGAACACATTACATGCCACTTGAAGGAAAAACAAATGTTCACTTTATGAGAGAAGTATTGGTGGTAGACCTTCGCTGATAATATTTGAGAAAATGCTGAATTATTTGATGTGACCACCAAGCGATATTACAATAGCTTATAATAACAGAATCATTTTCAAGAAATAAACTGATTTGTTTTGCAAATAAATAACAGGATATCAGCCAAACCTCCAGCTCTTAATTATTATCCGAACAGTAAGTGCTGTTCAGTGTGCTACGTCGCATCCTCTCATCAATCGAGTGCTTTGAAGAGATTTTTAAAGACCACATGAATTCAAATGAGAGCTATTTAAATGCTCTGCATCCATCCAGAGGAAAGCGAGCTGCTTCTTCGGTCTACCTGTTACCTCCCTGAGCATTCACACCTCTTCCTCTCTCAATGCTCTCGCTGGATTGTCTAGCAGTGTTCCAGACGGGTTTCTTTTGCTGGGAGACTGAGGTTTACTAGTCGTAGAGGGCTTGTGCATATCCAAATAACATTGGATCAAAACAGAGATTATTACTTAGGTACAGCATATCTACTACAACCCAAACACAACAGATTTAGTATTGCATAAGAATATTTGGTTTCTCTAACAAAGAGGGTTATCATTTTTAAAGACCCTGATGACACCGTTTTAAACCAAAACTGATTTTTTGTGTGTGACAGGAATATGCTGTGTGTTGATAAAACTGCAGCTTGAAAAAGTGATGGGGTTTGTTATTTTTTAGATGAGATTTTCTTGAACTTGACTGCAGGGGCGCAGTGGTTTTCTTAGTGGCTGGGGCCCCTTAGAGACAATAATAATAATGTAAAAGTGTGATAAATATTCAAATGTTAAATCTCAACCACTTCTCATGGAACATTCCTGACAAAAATACAAACTAAACCTAATGAATACAAACAAAGAAAGCGCATAAGGAACTCTTCCCTGAGGGGTGACAGCACAAGGCATTAACACCTTGTACAAATTGCACGGCAGAGGAATGATAGTGTGCAAATAGAAAACAAAAGACAAACAACTGGATGCTATGTTACGGTTGGTGACAGATGTATCAACATGCTTTGTTGGGTTTCTAAAGGGATATCATTTTTTTCTTTTTCTTTTTCTCGCTCTTTTTTTTAAAGATATTTCTAGAAGCCGCTACTGAGATTGCTGGAATGTCTTAGGAATCCATTCTACGTTATAGACGAGTAGACTGGAAAGCAGAAGCAACGACTACTGTTTGGCACATCCAGGGTTTTTTCTACCACTTTACTACCACACTGACAAGAAAGACACACTCAACAAAACAGAAGCACAACAACAAAGCATTCTGAAAATAGCACTTGTCCTACCATTTTTATGTTTCTCCCCTAATCATACAAACAACAGCTAGTCTAATTATTGCAGGAATATAGTTAAGTGCTACCTGACATCTTTTTCTCTCCCTTGTTCTCTTTCATGAGTTCATTAACCAAAACATGTTACAAAAATAGAAGCTTTACTACCAGACAAGGCTTTGAATATTCACTTTCCCTTCACTGTTTCTTCTATGTCCTGTTGTGGCGTGACTGAGGCTGCGGTGAGAAGGCAGATAAAGCAACTCGAAAAAAAAAAAAAAAACACTCCAAACATTTTGACAGAGGCTCATGAATGTGCTTCAAGGTTAGACCTTGTATGTTTGTCATTAGGCTGTCAGTTTGCCTGCTGTATCTTTACCTTCCACTAGATGGAACAATTGGATTACAGTCTATGTGTGTATGAGTCGATGTTTGGATCTCTCCAGTCCGACCGCACTGCCAGACTGAGATGTTTCCTTGTAGCCTTCTTTGTATAATACGTGCGATTTTTGAAAGGCAAATAAGAACCAAATATCATTAAAAAAGAGTATGAGCGCCATTGTGTCACCATGCAATACCTGTTTTCTTGTCTTTAAAAAAGGTTTAAACAAATGCAGGTCTGTTCATAACTAAAATAAAGAAGGAACAAGACTGTTACGCCACTACAAGGTTTGTTGGCTGTTTTCGTACGTGTTCACTTCTGCTAAAAAGGATTATCAGAGCTATATTTTGAGAGGTGCTCCTTTCACCCTGCCTTCTCATCCATGCCTCTTTGTTCTCCAACCAGCAGCCTCACGCTAACAGACAGCCCTCACACTTCCACACCAGAATCATCTGCAGCTCCCAGGACTAGCCTCTGTGACCATGGTTCAACTTGTATTTCTTGTGCACATGCAACACATCACTAGGTAAATATACAATTCTTAAATTAAAGAAAGGTGTAAATAAAAGTGCCTTATCAATTCAACAGTTAAGAATGGCCTAACTACTAATATCATACATGTTATTTAAAATAGATTCTATAAACATTACTTTTTTTCTGTATAGTAAGTACTTATGACCATATACCCTGTAGTACATTATAAAACAGGTGGAATGGACCCTTTTCATTGTGTTGGTGCCCCGTGCTTTCCAGGGCACCAGTCCAGAGAAGGATTAATAGCAGATGGCCTTACATGATTTCACTATGCAACAATGGTGGATGGAGTCTTTGACAGCTAAAATCATTGCGTTTTCATTAGAATTACCAGAATTCTATGCTTCTTTTTTTCTTTTTTTTAAACGATTGTCCATAGAGAGGTGCCGATTGCATCACCATGCCGACAGAACCTCCCTCAAAGTCGCCGTGAGTTTTCATTCCAAGTACTGCGTCCAAAATATATACGACTGAACACAAGAGAAAAAGGGGCTGAACTTGACCAAAATGTGCGCATTTTAAGTTTGTTTCAGATAGGGGGGTAAGGGATATGACTATTCATAGTTTTGAAGGGGAAATACTAAAACGTTTTGGGAATGCAATGTGAAAAATAATACTGATGCAGATTTATCTTCTAATTGAAGAGGTCTTCAGCTTTTTTAATTCCAAAGACTTGGTAATAGTTTGTACTATTACAAGTCATATGAACAGGTCAATCATATTAAAGGCAATGCAATAAATACTGGTGAAAATGACTGAATAAAGTGAATTATGTTGGAAATGCGCAAAAGAGGGTCAAGTTCAACCAGACAGAAATTATTTGTCCCTATTTCCTCTTCAGGTCCCATGGGGTGTTGGGTCCCACAAGTCTTCCACAGAGAACTAAATTCAATAAAGTAAACCTTGAGAATCAACTCCCTAAGCCCTCCCCTCCGATGTAAAAGAAGAAGTTGAACAGCGTGCCATCTGTCCGCTCTGGTGTGTGCAGGGCACCAATAAAGTGTCTCAGATTCCTCCTCCACATTCCCCTACGGTGGGCACACTGGCACCTGGCAGGGCTGCTACCCGTCAACGGGCATGGACTGCTCAAAGTCTGATCCGAACAGCTCCTTGTATAAGGGAGGGAAGTGGGCACGCACAATGTCTGGGTATATTGCTTTGAAAGCGGTAAGCTTCTCTGTATGCCTACTGCACAGTGCTCGCAGTGTCGACACTTTGCATATCAACTGTGGAGAGAGAGAGGAGACAGGCTGTTTAGATTCACGGGGAGGCAAGGACATGGAGCAATGGTAGTGAAAAACATTCCTCCCTACAGTGTATTCCCTTTCACCAGGGGGGCAAACAGACTTGTAAATATTGAGACAAGCGCTCAGGCGCAAGGAAAACTTGACAAGTCATATTATGGAGCTGGTACAATTGATAAATGTACTCTTCTTTACTGATAAAAAGGCATTTCATGCAACATTACGGTACTTCCTCTGTCTGTTTTAGTTTAATCTAACACACTAAAATGGTTGATGGCCTGTGGATAAAGATCCTAAACAGTGGGAGATTAAACTGCTACAAGTGTAGAGCCTGCTGAGCAGACAGACACTTTCAGAAGTAATGGATGTGTGTACTGCAGCGCACTGTACCTTTGTAAGAATACCATCCTCTCTGTGGTTCTTCTGCAGGACGTGCTGGAGGGCCAGTTGGATCTTCTGCTGGAGTTTCTCCACCTTCACTTTCTCCTGGAGCCAAGATCGGTCTGGAAAGTAAATTATAACAACTTTTAATTACTGTAAAAAACACACGTAGGCCCTTAAAAAGTCAACTTGGCTCAAAGTAATGATGAAGTGGCACTAATATATGGAACTAATTGACAGAGGAAACAGGAGGGCAACAGCGTTCCTTGTCGTGCTGATTGTGCGTCTACTTATTTTTTCCTCTTTGCTCTGTGAGTGACACCTACCAGCAGACATCAACACGAAGGCGGAGAACAGGGCGATCTCATCCTCAGACAGGTGCATAGAACACAAGTTTTTCCCAAACTCGAAGACGGAGCTGATCAAATCGTCACAGCCTGCCACAGCAAAGGACACAGAGAGAGGGCTTAGGATGAGGAAGACCAAAGAACAACATTCACTCTTGATCTTTATTGGGAGAGAGGCACACAGGGAGCGGAGAGGAAGGAGAAGGAATGAAAAAGAGCGGCATGCTGACAGCACATGGGAGCATCTTAAGCAGAACAGGCAATTTTTTACTGAGTTTTGCCTCCCAGACGAGTCACTTTTGGCAGTTGGGTGGTGTTATGCAAGCCAAAATGAGGTCACTATTGAGGCTTTTAGTTAAATCAATTATCGGGGATAGAGAGAGACAGCCGGATGCCACCGCAGCTCGGGAAGCCCATCACTCTGCCTCCCCTGCCGCAGACCCCTCTGTACAGAACACACAGGACACTGGGACTCTCGAAGCCGGGACACATACACATGCTCATTCACACACAAGCATAGAGGTAAAAGGAATGGAAACATACACCAAGAAACAGAATTCAGCATTTTTACTACCACCGCGGGGACACATTTACATCTTTCTCCGTCAAAAGGCAGTCGAAAATGCATGAAAATCCATCGTAAGAGTGAAACTAATGTCATGGCAGTCAAACACGATTGCTATTTGCTTTCACCCGAGATGTTTTATATCAAACTATCAATGATGGTTTTGATAGCGCTCTCCCTAAAGATTCTCCGTCTGGCTTTATATATTCCACAGTTACAGGAGCTATATGCAGCCGAGCCGGCCTAACATCTCTCTTCACCATAAATAACCACTGCAGAGACAGAATTGCAGGTGAGGCTAGGAAGCATGCTCAGGGTTGGCTTTCAGGCCCCCAGCATTGTGTTAAACAGCACAGCACACTCTAATTTTGGCTATTACACCAAGGGAAGGAGTGAGACACTGTAAGAAACACACACAGATGCACTGCAGAATACAAACACCCACATGCAAGCTCATTCAAACATGCACACATCCACCCACACACACATATACACCCACTCCACTTACCTAATGACTTGAACACATCAGGTCCGGCATACTTTCCATCAAAATAGACGGTGTTGTTTTGCGAGTCAAAGGCACGGCACATTCTGACAAACACAACTTCCAAAGAGCCTGTGGAGACAGACAGGAACAAGATGCTGAATCTGAGCGTTGTTTCTTTTCCCCCCCCTAACAGTTACACATCAGTAAGGAGTGCAAAACACATGATTGTGCTTTGTGCTATTCTTCAACAATATGAAAAACAAATCCACTTTGAAATAAAGAAGCCTGCCATCAAAGGAAGAAAAAGAAACACCTCTGCAGATGATAATATCACAGACTGAAGGCTACTCTTCCATAATAACCTGCCAGATAACAAATGTGCTTTATTCAGTAGTGACAGTGCTTATTCATTCAACCTTTATTTAGCAAAATAGGTAGAGAATGTATTCCATCCTGCAATTTTGTAGCACTCTGTGGGAGTGGATAAGAGGATCAAGAAAAATGTAACAGCAGCCATTACTGCCTCTAAGGGAGATGCTACTGTTTTAAATGTCATGTCTGACAAGGGATCTCAGTCTTTATTTCAATATTCATATTGGCTGTGCTAATGTAAATAATACTCAGGGAAAGACCCGGGAGATATATTTGATTGCTGCATGCGCTGTGTGTTTGTATCTGTGTGTTCGAGTGTCTATATTTATGCATACATAGGTGACAGAGTGCCATAGCTTTATTTAATATTCTCTTAGTATGTGTTCATGAGAGCAGTTTGAATAAGCAGACATCAATCGATGTGTGAAAAAAGAGAGGGGAATGTCAGCCGTCATGATAGGCATTATCTGAACTTAGAAACACATTGCTTATCTAATGCTGTGTCCATCGTTGCTACATGTAATGAACAGAAGAAAATAGAGAGCGACAGAGACAAAAAGAGGAAATCGGCAGGGTGGGGTCTCCTCCCTGGGACACTGTCTGTGCATGTGAGGAAGAGGGCTTTGTGCAGTCAGGTCAGCTACGCCCTTGTGACAATGCCAGAGGGGGGTGGTGGGTGAGTTTGACGGCAGCAGGCCATGTTGACAGGCTGTCATACCTGCTTTCAGTAGCACTATCTGATCGTTCTGACACAGCTCCATGAAGCCGTCGATGCGCTTGGCGAACTCCACCACATACTGAATGGCCTCCGTTATTTTGATAGCACACAGCTGCCACATGACTTCCCGGGGCTAAGAACACAAAAGACAAAGAATAGGTTATCTTAAAACAATGGAGTTGATGACTGTAACTGCTGTGGAGGCCAGCACAGGCCCAGTTGTGGTCAAAGTACCTTGCTCTGGTAGCTCTCCACCTCCTCCTGCAGGAAGGCCTGCCAGGTCATCTGCTGCAGCTCCTCCCTCAGGTACTGACATGTCTCCATGTGGGACTTGGAGATGTTCTGGGCCAGGTGCTCTGCAACAAAACCACCGTCAGAAACCCACAAGATTACAGTTGAGATCTGAATGTTTCTCACAAGGCTACGTATGTAATGTGCTGGAATGTGCCACAGGAAAAGAAGATTTATTTACTGAGCGTTCAAAAAGGAGGAGAGGCGGATACGCGTGGAGTTTTTTTTGACTGGGAAAAGGCTTGTTGACATTTCCTTTTACTGCCTACAGGAAGCTCATAACTTAAGGTTGAGGCAAAGCCAATTTAGTTATGACACAAATGCACGGAGAGGAGGAGGGGCGCCACGTTACTCACTGAGACAAAGGTCACATTTTCTCGGAGAGAAATATTGAGTATAAGAATTTAAATGGTTTTGAAAACACATCTGTTAAAAGGAGTTCCTAGGCACAGGGGAGCCTAAAGAAATGATTTCCCCAGACGCCTGCCCTGCTGGATCCTGATTGGCCCTAATTAATGGAAACTAATTACAAAAAAGAGGCTCTTTTAATGAGTGTTGGAGATGAGTCTCCAACCTCCTGCTATTTTAAGCAACCTTTGTGTCGTTTGCCCCACGGTTGAGTTGTTCTCCCCCCCTCCTCCATTTTGCTGTTTCTCCTTTCGTATCCCCCCTGTCTCTTTCCTGCTTCTTACCTAGTTCAGCCATAGACACTGTAGGGGAGGTTTCTCCGTTGGTGAAGGAGCAGTAGGGGAAGAAGCCAGAGCCGGGGGCAAAGTCGCAGATGGGCTCCGGTTTGATGCCGTTGATGTCCAGGCCTGACTGGTCAGGAGACGGCTGGATGTCCAGGTAGAAGCTGCTGACGGCAGAGTCTGGTTTGCTGCCATCAGGAGTGTGACCATCCATGTAGCCGCTGAGGTCGTCATGAAGCTCTGTGAGGCCATTGGCTGAGAGGCCATAGCTAGGTGTGAGTGGCTCCGCCTCTCCTGGCTGTTGTTGGTGTTCACGCTGCGCCTGCGCCAGCCGGTGCTTCTGCACCTCAGCGTACAGGCTGTCCCGCTGCTTCTTCGACATGCGGCCAAACTTCACCGCTGTGAAAGGACAATACAAAATAAAAATGTCAGACACAAGGGAAACATCACAAACAATACAAATAATACATTTATAAAATCGAATGAAAGACCAGGTTAAATGAGTGCATATCTCTTCAAGAAATGTGAAATTTGTTTTAAACTTGATTTTAGAGTGTTAATTTAATAGTTGATTTTTAATATTTACTCTCTGATAAGTAAACTAATATTACCAGTGGGTTACCAACACAAGTAGACTTATCAAATGATCTGTCACATTGGCAAAATGCTATGTAATTGAACCAAAAACAAATACTTGCTTGAACAAAATGTGTTGTTTGGCCAAGGAAAATATTAAATTAGGGATTTCTGGGCATATTAATTCCCTATTTGCTATTCAAATGTGTATGTCATTCAGAGAGTTGTGCCTCCCATGACACAGTGACACAACACTAGTCTATCTGAAGTCATATGTTACTATGACAGCAGGATATGCCTGCTTTGAGCATCATACTCCCCTATACTGATCTACAGTACATTACAGTACAGTACACAAGAGGGATATGCACTTTTAACAGATAACACTGATACAAAATAAACTAATTCCCATATTTCAGGAGGGATCAGTAGTGACATATATTATTACTAAAGTAAAGAGGCACAAGTGGGAAGTGACTAACAGCTTACCAGCCACTCAAACATAAAACTAGCTAAGTTACTGCCTCCTGTTTCAAGGCTTCCAGACTACACATTGGGACTGAGAAAACTCTTTGGCCAGCGTTTTGGCCTGGCAGGATGACAGCCGATCACAGTATGTGTGTGTGTGTGTGTTTGTGTTTGTCTAGGCTCAGTGGAAGGTGAATTGAGCCACAAGGAAGAGAGTGCAGGCAGATGGGCTCTGGTGTGTTGAGTGAAGGCAAGAGTCACCTTCGCTGTCCTGAGTTTGTGTGTATACGTGTGTGTAAGTGTGTTTGGCTATGCAAAGGCACTCATAAGTGCTAATCTACGTCTGTGTTCATTCTCATTTATGAATAGTTATGCGTGAGTGGGTAACTGCATTTAAGTAGTGTGCATAAAGAAAGGCCAGCCTCTGTGCATGTATGTTCAAGTTTTCTCATTTCCGTGTGAATTCCTGTGTGTGTTTTACTAAAAGAGAAAATATTAGAGAGGCTTTGTTCTGACAAATGTACCTCAGCTCAGCCCAGTCTGGACTGGCCCAGCCTGGCTCAGCAGGAGCACTCCAGCACATATCCCCACCTGTGTGCTCCCATTACAGCATCTCAGCTGCAGCAGCACTAATGACAACCTCTAATAACCTCCTATTTCATCAAACCTAGTTTCTTTCACAGCAACAAATTAGTCCCGCAGACAAAGCACTCACCTGCTACAGGCAGACAATGAACATAGACTGCCTTCTTAGCATGTGTTCGTGTCACAGTTATATTGGGATATGTGTTGTGTCTCTTTGAGAATAATGACGGTCATTATCTGTACCTGTGTGTGTTTTCTCTGTCTCCATACCTAAATATAGAAAGTACTAGAGCTGCATATTTATTATCAATTAATCTGCAGATTATTTTGGATTGATAAATCAATTAATCTTTTGGTCTACTCATTTTAAAGAAATATATATAAATGTCTATCCGACTTTCTCAAAAAAAGATTATTCACTTTAATATGATGTGAGAATAAAGAAAAGCAGCACATCTTAAATGTTTGAAAAGGCTAAAAACAGCTTTTTCTTTTAGGAAAAATTACTTTTAACTTTGAATTTATATTAAATATTGTTTCAATTATTTGTCTGATATTGCATCTCTAAGTACCACACGCTATAGGGTTAGGAATGAACAGCTTAATAGAGAAAAGCTCACAGGTTTTCATTTATATGTAAAAGCACACATTTGTTATAATGTTGTTGGTTTTACTACTCTTTCTTTAATATACCTCAAGCTCAAAATCTTTACCGATTACCTCTTAATATATACCCAGATAAGGACACTTTTTTTCCTGCGCACTCCAAAAAGTTGCACTTCCTGCTGTAAGAAGATGCTGACTAGTTTACATCAGAAAATCTACTCTCCTTTTATGTGTTATTGCTCTTTTAATCCAATTTTATCACAAATAACCACTATCAATAATTTCCTGAAAATGACAAAATATATTTTGATCTCCTGAGGGAATTAGGTCTTCTCTTGCTTGCCTTAATAGGGAGGTCACACAGCATCTCTGAAGCGCTGGTTCAAAGGCACTCCAGCAGATCCTTGCCCACACAGGGGCTTGAACCTGGGCTCTTCACCTCCCCTGACTCACTATGTCACCCTGCTGTTTCCACCCACCTTTTCCATCAGGCACTTACCATCTCGTGACATGCCCACTGCCAGGCACTTCTGCAGCCGGCAGTGCTGGCAGCGGTTGCGGCTGGTGCGGTCGATCAGGCAGTTCTTCTGACGGGGGCAGGAGTAGGCTGCATTGCTCTGCTGACTCCTCCTGAAGAAGCCCTGCAAAAAGGAAGGGGCATGGAAACACTGAGAGTGGACCAAATGTTCTGGGACTGCAGAATCAATTTATGTCTTCATAATGTTTTAGTGTCTGATACAATTCATTACTGATTGATAGTGATTTACTGTATTCCTAGTGGTGATATTTCTATTTGACTGCTGCCAAACATTAGGTAATAATACTACTGACATTATTTTCCTGGCTGTTATGCTGTAACATCTGGCATTCAAAGAGCGCTTCATTTCACCAGCGTGTACAGCATGAGGGTGGTGTGTTTGGGTAGGAATGATAACAGTGGATGGTATTTTTCTTCAGTGGGGTTATTAGTGTTGATTAACGCAGCACCGGCATGTGCAGTGCTAAAGGATTGAGAATGCACACTGACTGGATTCCTCATACTTTGACTTAATGAATTGAATCCAGCACATCATTAACATGCCCCACTCCACGGCTCCATACACATATGTCTTAATTAGCTGCTCATTGGCTGTTTAATTACAAGAAAACAGCTGACAGCTGCCAAGTTGCTTTATAATGGACGCCATTATGGAACCAGGCTATAACTGCCAGTGACAAGCAGCACTCTTTAATAATGCTATGATTTATGGTCCAAACTTTTATACTCGCACATATCATTAGAGGCCTCTCTGCTGTGGACTAATTAGCAATCATTAAAGATAGATTTCAGCAGTTTATTCTTTAGTGGTTTGTTCCTTCCAGCTCCTTTGTGAGGGAGAAGAGCACTGGGAAGAACTGGTCCCTCGCGCTCTCCTGCGGGCGGCGCGCTCTCCTTAACACACACACACACACACACACACACACACACACACACACACACACACACACACACACACACACACACACACACACACACACACACACACACACACACACACACACACACACACACACACACACACACACACACACACCCACACACCACACACACACACACACACACACACACACACACACACACACACACACACACACACACACACCACACACACACACACACACACACACACACACACACACACACACACACACACACACACACACACACACACACACACACACACACACACACACACACACACACACACACACACACACACACACACACACACACACACACACACACACACACACACGAAAACAGTAAAGGTGCATGCTGGCTGAGGAATGCTAATGATGTGCTTGGTGACAAGCACAGGGACAAGAATACACTAAGCACAAAATTCCCTCACTGTGAATGGCTGGCGTATTTGAAACAGTACAAAAGGCGGCTTCAATGGAAGCAACACTGTAGCAAACAGCCAACAATCTGCTATAATTCAAAGCACTCTCCTTTTGATCATTTTATTTCAAGAAGAGCAGGCTGCAGCAGAAGCAGACAAAAAACTGTGAAAAGACATGTCCCTGGGAGGGAAAGGCAGAGCATGGCAGAGAGATGACTTTGTCCTACTAATTGTAGTTTTCTGTGATGTCCTCTGTGGTGCTTGACCACTTTAATGATCATGTTCTTCACCTCGCCTTTTTCTAAATCATTGTAAAATTTCTGCAACATTTTCAAACGTTTTTCCTAGCAAGCAACTTTATTTCCCACACACACACACACACACACACCACACACACACACACACACACACACACACACACACACACACACACACACACACACACACACACACACACACACACACACACACACACACACACACACACACACACACACACACACACACAACACACACACACACCACACACACACACACACACACACACACACACACACACACACACACACACACACACACACACACACACACACACACACACACACACACACACACACACACACACACACACACACACACACACACACACACACACACACACACACACACACACACTTGATGCTTACCTTACAGCCTTCACATGTTATCACACCGTAATGGATGCCTGATGATTTGTCTCCACAGATCTTGCAGGGAATTATTTCGATTTGAGCTGCAGAGAAGAAAAGGAAACAAAATAAATAAAAAATCAACATTTTGCTGTCACAAGTCACTGTACAACACCCTCACCATGGATCCATGTTGGTACATGAAAGAGCACTGTGCTTCTAAAAACACCTTATCCGGTGGTTTTTGAATCTGTACTTCCACAGAGCATTAGCTGAATATTTACAGAGATGGAAATGTGGTGTGTGTGTGTGAGAGAGAGAGTGATTGGAGAATGCCATTTTAAGTATTCATAAGCAGCTAATGTAAATACAATTTACACAAGGAAAAACCCATCGACCGATAAACCTTAATACAGTGCCGTAGTACCAATAGTCTTGTGCAATGACAAAGGCTTATAGGTCTCATAAGGCAACATATTCGCTGGTGGAAAACTTGACTTCTTGAATTCTCTTAAACTTCAAAACCATAAAAACCTCAGGAGTTAATCCACAAAGACTCACAACATGGCCACTTTGCTGCTACTCTCTTCTTCTGTATATGCCACAGGGAAAAGTGTTCAGTGGCTGTGATGCTGTGCTGTTGACAGGCCTGTGATATACCCGCCATAGAGGACAAAGGCACAGAGAGGACAGGCCTCATCCATCGTTGGCCTTCTCTTCAGGAGCGGACCACAGGGCAACACAACAGAACACACACACATCAGAGACACAGAACTCCCAGCTCGTCCCGCTGCTCTCTGCTTCATCACTGCAGCCACCGATGCTACATCCCTCTCCACCTCCACCTCCCCCTCTGCCCCACTCCCGCCTGTCTTTCTCTCCCTCCGGAGATCTCTATCTCGCAGCCTTCCTCCACATCTCCAGCATCTCAGTCCCACCATCCCTACAGTGCACTGCAGCGCCAGACAAAATCCGCTATCTGATCTAAATCGAGGAAAGATCACCGCAGGATATTTCCTCACCATGTAATGCTTTTTCTGCAACCAGCCATGCAGCCAACCAATCAGAGCTATTGCAACACAAGTCTTTACCAATTAGGGTAGGAATATTATGATTTTTGAATTAATAAGATGCTATAAAAATTATAATAATTAAACAAGTGGAGATATATTCGCTATGTCAAAGTGTTACATCAGCCTCCCCCTCTAGCCAGGCCTAACTGTCTCTTGCAAAGACTAGGAGCTTCAAATATCCCTCGTACACCTTAACATCCAACCTCTTTAAACCAGTTTGATCACATCAAAAGTACTTTTGCTAAAGTTCAATCCAGAGATCCCTGCCCATTTTAATCATCTGCCTGGGAGCTTGTAATGTGTCATGTGGATAATGTCCTTGTCCCTCAGGCATGCCCTGGAGAGGCCCTTAACACAGAGCCTCTAATCCACTAACCCCGGAGCCACACTCTATTCATTCAGGAATCTGTGTCTGTTCTCCTCGCGCTGCTGGAGTCAACAAGACCGGCCATGTTTACATGGAATTAGCCTACATTTTAGTAAAATTAACAAAAGGGAGTGGTGGAACATGCACAATTAATTCTCCTCCAGACAACAGCTCCTGCGATTTGTGATTCTCACATACAATAGAGGGCACTGCACCTCGTCGGCCCGGATTAGAGTGAAATCCAGGCAGTAGGCGGTCTGTGACAACCTAACTGAGAGGGTTAATTTATAATTAATCTTTTCCTTACTGTGCGCAGTTGCTTGTTATTTCGGTAAGGTCTATCTTACGAGTGCACTCTATTGTTTGTTTTTGTGTTCTCCCTGCATGAGCATTAGCAGTGCAGTGTGTTTCGACTCCTTTAGCGTTTTCAGCCTCATTACTTACATAATTTGTTCTGACATGCACTCACAACAACTGAAGCGTGCTGTAATTATGACTAGCTGTGGTTATGGTGAGCTAAAGGTTGTAGTGACAGGCCCCAGCCATTGGGTGGCAGTGCAGGGCTGTGCCTATGCATGTCTTGCCAAAGTTAAGCCAAGCTTCCACCCACCCTATCCAGCCCACAGGCTTTTGGCTCTGAGCTCCAGCCTCTGATAGCTCCAGGCTTAGGCTGCTGCTTGCTTCCCCCACCCCCACAGCATAGCTCTGAGATGCCTTCATCTCTCCTGAAGAAGCGGAGCTGGCCAGGCGCTCGTTCAGGCCTGACAGAGGCTGTGCCACATCAGGTGAAAGCAGTGGGAGTAGAGACGCGGGGGTGCCAGGCCGGGCAGGGCATACACATACACGAGCATGCCTCACAAAGCCCTATCTGCAGCAGGAAGACCTGAGTGCACATAGCCTCACCAGCTAACACCCTCTCACTCCACCGCTGCACAAGCCCCTGGATGCTCTGTGCACTCAACAGTAAAAAGGGTTTGTTTCTGGACCGGCTGAGGCAGGCTCTGTAGTCTCTTGTATAAGAAAAGACCTCTGTTTGAACATATAGTAATTTTCACAGTAGGATAAGCTGCTTTCAAAAAGATGTGGAGAGGGGGGTCAAGGAGAATAAATACCCGGCAATGATACAATGGAGTTCAAATACACCATAAAGTCACCTACAGCATCAGACTAAGTCAGTGTTTGTATATCTGTATTATTGTTACAGTTGTCCTCTTGAGTGACTGGTCATGAGGCCCCTAAGCTACACTTTGGACACTGAGGATGATTCAAAATGAATTCACAGCAGAGAGACATTCAAACAAAAAGGCCTGAACTTATAAACACTACCAATCTGGCAGTCAATATATATTGACATGAGCTGCGGTGTTAACTGCCTCTTGGTGTGAAACAGGCAGCTGCTGGCTTGCTTGAGCTTGACCATCGCAGTGCCACTGATCCCATTCACTGCGCCTGCCTGCCTGCCAGCCAGCACTGCCTGCTCTGTTTACGACATCAAAGACAGGCACAGTTAGACGGGCAGCCATGCTAAAGCCCATCCCAACCGCCTGACGCTCCTCATAGCGCTGCGATGTGGCCTCTGCACGCAGTCCACTTCAAAGACACCTGCTGAGACGCCAAGATTATGTGTGATTCACACTGCAGCACAATCACACTGCGCATAACCATAAGGGTCGGACTGCGGCTCAACACTGATTTCCTGTATGCAGCGTTGCAGCCTGGCATGGGTGTCTTGGACAATGGGCATGGCAGAGAGAGGAGACAGTCAAGCCCAATGCTAAAGCGTGTTCTTTGTCTGTCTGTGGTTGAGCAGTTCAAGGACACTGACTCACCACACTAGCAGGCACTTTGAGGGGATGACGTGTCACTCAGAGCACATGTACAATAGGGCAGCTAGGCCTCCTCTTTTTCACCCAGTGCCCTTCACTGTCTTCTGCACAGCCCTCAGATCAACCCACTGCTTAACTACACTACATTATCAAAGGCCTGGAAAGTGACAGTCAAATGTGAACACCAAGAACAATTTGCCAAATGCACACTAACAGCTTACAAGGGCCCTGTCACTGTTTATATTGTTATGAGCACTGGATAGACAGACAGCGTCAGACAAGAACACTTCCTCCATATGCACTGCAAATGTAGTTGTGCTTCAAAATCATTCACAGGAGATATTGAAATTATGAAGCGGAGAGATGTATGGACAAATAAGTGAAATGTCAATAGGCTATGTGAATTCTTAATGAAAAATAATGATATGCAATAAGGATGAGCCAATACCTTTTAGAATGATATTGTTTATATTTTCAATCTAGCATGCTTGTAACCAAAAAAAAGTGAAAACTAAAAATCCTACATGCTTGTGCAAACATGGGAAATCACTTGTCAAAATGTCCCGGCTGTTTGCACTGAACCCTTGGACTACTGACATAACATCGAAGGATTAAGATTATCCCTAACATTACAGAGCCAGGCCCAGGCCACCGTCATAATGCTGATGGCTTAACCCATTACTCGATTGGACCATTAAATCATTTTCTCATTGCCCGATGATTCATGATAGGTGTGTACAATAACTGAGGTCTGAAATCAAGGCTTCTGTATACTGACCTGTCTATGGCGTTTTCTCTTTTTATCATTGGCTCATCTACAACACACATTCTGAAAAAAATGTGAAGCAGTTGTGGGAAAAAAAACACACATTTGCCTCTGTGCATGGTGGTGTGTGAGTGAGTGTATTGGTGCGTATCTGTGTGTGTCGCCGTGTTGTGTTGACAGCTGTCAATGACAGAGTGACGCAAGCCAGCGGGCTCATGTCAGACATTATGTAAGGAACTGAACAGAGCACAGCATTATGAGCAGATTAACAATGCTTTCCCATCAGACAAACTGTGTTAATAATACTTCCCCCTTTTTTATATTATTGCAACAAAAGCAAACAAAAGCTTAAAAAGGATCACATGCCTGCTCTCAAGACTGTTATAAAAAAGTCTGAATACCAGAGCATTTACACATGGTCAACAGACAAACACCAGAGGCTCTGAAACAGCTGGCAAAAGTGCACTGTGCAATGTTCCTGCTTCATTATGTGCTCCTAGCTATTCATTTGCTACATGAACTTCCTATTTGGCGGTTGAGATCAGTTGTCGGTTGATAAAGAGTCTTCTTTAAACAGATACCCGTGACAGTCAGATCTTGCTGTACAGAGACGACAGCCTAACAAGAGCTGGAATCAGGATTCTGCCTCTTTTCATCTGCCAGGCTCTGCTGTCATGTGAAGCTGCACAACACAATACTTTTTTATTCCCATTTATGCAGCAGAAGAAAGGTTATGTGAATGTCAGCGGCAAAGGACAGTCGTGGCACAGAACACAGGCTGAATAGTATAAATGTGTTATTTGTTTAGGGATGGGGGCTGTTGGCATATTACCATAGAGCTGCTCTAATGGCATTTGCTGGTTTTAGCACAAAGAAGACACACAGCACTGTACAGAAATCCACCTGCAGACCGAAACTCTGTATCATCACTTTAAACAGCTTCCATTCAACCTATACACATGCTGAAGTCATCAAAAAAACATTCTGACCAGAGGGATTAGAGCAAGGAAAGACATAATTGACACATTTTGATGTCTCTATGCTGCGTCTTGCTAATTCCCCTCCAATCATT